CGCTTCATGGACCTTCTTTTACCACCCACGGGTGAGTTCCTATGCTGCCACAACAATGTATGGATTCGAGGTGCGGGCTCGTTTGCCATTACGACCAAGGAATCTCTTCCGAGACAAGAAACATGCGCCAATAAGATTCCATTTAGTCATGGAAACAGGCAGAATTGCCGCAGACATAGACATGAAAGACATCGCTAAAACGAAGGAGAGGCGCACATGATATGAGGCGCCGTTGTAGTCTCCCTGTAGTGAGGCAGGCAGAAGTTCGTGGCTGGGGGACACCAACGGCATTGTGGATCTCAGCAATGCATAAAGTGTCCATCTTTGTCAGCGATACCGCAGTTGCTAAGAGACTATATGTGATCACAAGTCTGGTCGTTCAGTATGCTTTCTCGTCTTTCGTATGTCTGCGCAGTGGCCCCAACGCAGTAATGCGGCAAAAGCGGACCAATCTTTCAACAGCAGCTCAGTGAAATCTCTCGAAACTAAAACAGAGACCGTAGCATCCAGACGTCTCACTATGGTTCCCGGCGATCTGAGCTTCATAAGGCAGCAGATGCTTGAGATAGAGTGCATTTGCATAGGCTGGCGTGTAGTGGCTGCGGGAGACTTTCAGGCATAGTTGTTGCATTTTTCCTGTCCTTCGCGTGAACAGCACAGCAAACAAAATCTTAAGCAGCCTTCAATCTGTTGATGGCTTTGCTTCGGGAACACCCCTGTTGGGCGATCCGCCACTGGTGTCAACACCGTGGACGCGGTCCACTAAAGTTATGCCGAGGAAAAGTAGTTCAGGAAAGGACTTGGGAGAGTTACAGAAAATTAACCAGCGCGTCGCAACGGGGCGCGGGTTGCAAAAAGGAAATCCAGGTTTATTTGGACACAGGTCGGCTCCTGCACTTTTACTGACGTCGGCTGGGTGGAAATGGAACACTGAAGCAACCATGCACCAATCTATGACATTCACTAGCGGAAAACTGGTCGTCATTACTGTTGTTTAATTTATGTTCTCCTGGAGGGGCTTCTGGCACATGCACCGGCCCCACAACGGGTGCTTCTGCGTTATCACCGAGTATAAAAAAGCAAGCTTTGCAAGTAGTCTGTGCAAAAGCGTTTCGCCGCCCAGGCGAACTAGTGCGTCACGAGTACTTGCAGAAAGTTCGCTTCTGCCGAGCTTTGCCGAACTTCTGACGCTTCGGGTGAAGTACAGAGCAGATATCATACTTCAAGAGCTTAAGCTCATCCTCTACAAGCGCGTTCTCTTCTTCAGTAAAAGCCATGGTTCCCCTGAAACGGCCTGAGGCAGAATGGGCTGTCTCTGTCCTTCTTTCCAGAGATCGTGGCGCTTGGGATGTTCTCTGTCTCACTACATCCTCTACGCTTTTACCCTCAGCGACGTCGATGATGTCCCTTACAACCTGAAAAGACGCAAAAGCATGCATGCAGGCGCGTCCTCCTTTTCAAAAGATAGCCATAAAAATGCCTGAAACCAACACCGATATCTCCTCTCAGCGCAGACAAGAACCTGAGTTTACATGCCACCGACACCAAGGGTCCGCCTAGAGACATATTCCGACATAAAGGCTCGTGAACTCTGATCAACATGAAATTTAAAGCCAAGCGAATTCTATACAGCGCTCATATTTCCGTTTTCACCAGATCCAGCGCACAGTGAAGCCTATGTTTGTCTGATGGGTTAATCACAGTACAAGATTGAGAACGGTTCCTCGGGAGGCTTACTCCAAAATCAATGCCTGTCACCAACTCGATAAAACTGAGGGGAACTCTGAATCTTTCAGCACGCAAATTACCGTGCATGGCTTTGTTTGGCACAACGAACGCCCCAAACACAGATGGAGGGGGAGTACCCTTGGGCCAGGTCGCCCTTTTGGAGGCAACTGGAGCATGGCCAATATTTGGCGGCATGTCATTTCGCTTGTTTTCCTCGAGGTCCCTAGGATTGACACCCAAAACAACCTTGAAAAAGTGGGTGGGCACTGGCGCGAGCTTGTAACCCAGGACATCAAATTCAATATTCATAGGTGGAAGATTCTGTGGTTCATTTGCCGAATGGCTGAGTCGCCAGCGGCAGCGATCAAACATGCTCCGCAGAGGAGACTCGTGCGCAAGCCATGAGAGCTCTTCCTTCGGAAGCGGCTTTCGCTCTGGGGATGACGCTCGCAGGAACCGACGACCCAAGGACACAGGATAGGAGGAGCCTGTCAATGCCTCCACGCTAACGGGCAACCCGAGATGGGCTCCATTCCACGGCCTGTGCAAGCAGTAGCAGCAGGGCATGCTTGGCCAAGTTATTGTGAAGAGACGCGGGCGAACAGGAACACCGCAGCGAGACAAAGACGAATTCCGAATCGAGAAATTCTTGTGCACTCTCAGCGAGAATATTAAGTATGCCCAAGCATTACACTTTTGCAACGCGCAAGCAGATACAAAACGCGCGCTTTCCGTAAGTCCCAAAACACTGGAGGAAGAGACTGAGAGGCGTGTCGGCTATGTGAAGCAGATTAATGTACTTCTACAGCCTGCGTGCACCTTAGAAAATACCCTTTTGCAGGCATGACGGAGATGCTGACCTCAAGCAAATATATATCCTCTTCGAATCATCCAAAGGGCTTTTGACACTTGGGAACACTTCTCCGTAGACTGATGGCGAAAGAGCTGCTGCGTTTATGGGCAGCCACATAGGACCAGTAAATGCCAATGCGTCCTTAAAGTACGAGCGCACAGACGAAACCATGGATTCAAAAACAGTCCTGTAGGGAGTGGATGACAGCAAATGCAATCGCAGAAGACACAGAGAAAGCTGCCTGCATACGCAACTATTCAGTGGAGTTGCGTTCAATAGTTTTCAGCGAGTCAGGGCGAGCCACAACGGAGATGGCTGGCAGCGGCGGAGTGCCGGAAG